TATTGTTGCCAACCTGTACATGGAGGAGGTAGAAAAGAGAGCCTTGACGTCCTTTTCAGGGACACCACCAAGTCATTGGTTCAGGTATGTTGACGACACCTGGGTTAAAATCAAATCTCAGGAAGTCCAACATTTTACTGACCACATCAACTCTGTGGATAAATACATCAAGTTCACACGAGAAGATGTAAAAAATGGCAGGTTGGCTTTCTTGGACTGTGAGGTCTCAGTCTCTGATAGAGGACATTTGCAAAGTGAGGTGTACCGCAAACCCACCCACACAGACCAGTATTTGCAGTTTGACTCCCATCACCCTTTGGAGCACAAGTTAGGAGTCATCAGGACTCTGTACCACAGAGCAGACAGCGTCCCCACTAGCTCAGGAGCCAGGCAGAAGGAGAAATCCCATACAAGACAGGCTCTAGAGCAATGTGGATATCTTAACTGGGCCTTCCTGAAAGCAGAGAAGAAACCCAAACAGGACTCCAGTCAGCCATCAGGTGAAAAGGAGGAACCCAGACCAGTGGTCATTCCATATGTTGAGGGAGTATCAGAGAAACTGGGACGTTTATTTTCTAAACATAACGTCCCAGTGGCTTTTAAACCCCAAAATACATTACGGCAAAGACTGGTTCATCCCAAAGATCCAGTCCCCCGGCACAAACAGAGTAATGTTGTGTATGCTGTTCAGTGTCAGGAGGGTGATCAGTCTTACATCGGGGAAACTAAACAGCCACTGGCCAAAAGGATGGCCCAGCACAGAAGATCAACATCATCAGGCCAGGATTCTGCGGTCTACACTCATCTCCAGGCCAGCGGTCACTCTTTCAGGGATGAAGATGTTCACATCCTGGACAGAGAGGAACGATGGTTTGAGAGAGGAGTAAAGGAGGCCATCTTTGTGAAAAGAAATCGTCCATCATTAAACAGGGGTGGAGGCCTCCGGGTTCAACTGTCCCCCTCTTACAATGCTGTGATTGCTAGTATCACTCAGCCCTCTGTGAACAGTAAACAGCCATCAGTGTGCTAATGACCCATTGTTAGGCTGATGGTCCTTCTTGAGCATGTGAGCAGCTGGTTTTGGTTGTCATCAGCAAACTGGTTGATCCACTCTGAGAAGGTGCTATTTAAGAGATTGAGCTGAATACAGCACCTCAGACTGAGGAAGTCTTTCGGATGAGCGACGAAACATATCTACATTTTTTGTTGTTGTTTTGCTTTTAATGTCCAGAGGACCAGATTTAACTTTTTTTGAATTGCTCCAGTTGATCTTTTTTCATCAAGCTGCTTGGCAATCGTCTCGTAGCACTTTCCAGCCTTGTGGCGATCTACAATTTTGTCTCTGGAGTCTTTGGACAGCTCTTTGGTCTTATCTTATCTTAGCCATGTTAGTAGTTGGAGTCGTACCGATTGTGTGGGGTGGACATGTGTCTTTATGCAGCTAACGACCTCAAACAGGTGCTTTAGTTTAGAATAATAAGTGGAGGTGGACTTTTTAGAGGCGGACTAACAGGTCTTTTAGGGCCAGAATTGTTGCTGATTGACAGGTGTTCAAATACTAATATGCAGCAGTAACACACAAATAAATTATAAAAAAATCATTGATTGTGATTACCAGTTTTTTTTTTTTTTTT